GTTTGCGAGTAGGTCTGCGGGTGTGTGCGTGCATTCAATGAGGAAGAGGTACCGACGTGCGTCTATCTATGCTTAATTGTATAGTTGCTAGCATCAATTTTCAGCATTGTAGTCCGGTCTATTGCTACGAGTTTGGATAATTGATTGATGGATAGTTGGTATTTACTCCCTGCTGGCATATTAACACGTGTATGGCATGCGAAAGAGCACAGCACCCCCGGTCTAGAAGGGCGTTTTACTCTCGCAAAACGTCGCCCATTCGTGATACATCCCGGCCTCAGTCAACCCCGCCACAAAGCGGCATAGACGAGCAGCAACGAAGGGAGTAGACGCAGGTGGAATGATTTGATGGGCAGAAGAGAATATGATTAAAATGAAATAAACGATCTAAAAATAAAGGAAAAGTAAAAATTTGGCGCATTAGAGGTGGTCCGGAGAATTTTTTCACATTATGTAGTCAATAAAATTTACAGTCTATCATTAGGATGGGATCAGAGTCCGAGAGCCGGCATGACTTTTGCACTGCCCCCTCGCTTCGGCCAAAGGTAGTCGGTCTGTCCGGAGACTGGTGACATTTCTGCTCAGTCTGTCTGTCTGTCTGACTGTCGACAAAACGGAAACCTTTCCTTCTGCTTTGGCAACGAGGATGCCATGTTCTATCCGTAGACATGGGCAGGAAAAAAGTTGTCTCATGAAACAAGTTGATAACTGGATTGATTGCCCTCAGCAATAATCACGAGAGCACATACAAACTCCTACACACACACACACACACACACATAATTTTTCAATCCTTAGTTCCTGAAGTAGACGACATACTCTTAGATATGCCTTGCCAGTACATAAAACCAAGTTGCCGTCCGCTCGACCCTTTTTTGACCTCGAAGAATAGGTCAAGGAGACCTACTTGCCTCTAACTCGTCCCAGACTTGCCGAGCCTGAAAGGGGTAGCATGGGGGTGGGTGGGCGCACGTTCGTTCCGGGGTCAGTACCAATCAGTTCAAGAGAGCGAGGAGGCCAGGCGGTTGTCCAGGTGTGGATGCAACTGGGTTTCGGTCGCCCGAGTGAGTTTGAGACCATTGTCAAGCTGTTGGAACATGATTTTTTGTGTCGAGTCTGGTGCGACTGAGACCACCAGATTAACCGGAACCAGCCGATCTCGTGGCAACCAGCTCAGTACACCGCAACTCAAGACATGCAGCAAGCTGAACAAGGCCTACAAATCGTTTCGGCTTTGCCTTGCCTTGTCTTGCCTATCTATCCATCCATTCGGTAATTTGTTTAGCTATCCAACTGTCTCCATCACTCAATCGCTTAATCAATCCTAAACAATAATCGCTTAAACGATGTATCCATTCGTTAAGCAAAGCATACATTTGTCTATCTATCCATCAATTTGTGTAGCCATTCAATCGCCGTCATTGAATTAGTGAAAGCATTGATCATTTTATCAAGCGGTCGTCGTCTATCCACTTATCTGTCCAGTCATCCCTCTTTCGTTTAGCTATCCACACGTTGACTAGCCAATAGGTTACTCGCTAAGACTGGCTATCCATCCATTCATCCGTCCATCTGCAAGTGCATTTATTCGTGAAAGTCTGGTTCCCTTGCTCGTGTCGTGCCGAGGAAGCTGGGGATGCTAACGGGCTGGTGGGCTGTGTGTCTCGTGGCCATGAGGTCGGCTTCTCGGTCAGTTACTGGCTTGTGCGCTTCTCTTCATCCGGCCTCTGGATCCAGGCCTTTCAACAGCACTCTTCGCTTAACCTGCCAAATACACCGACCTTCTGCACCTGTCTTCATAATCGCACCGGCCTTGACCGACTCCGCCGGACCGACAGAGGAGACACTCAAAGCACATACTAAAGCCAAAAGCCTTGGCAACTCTTCAAGGCAAAAGAAGAGGTAGAAGTTGGAGAAGAAGGCAAAGGAAATGAAAGAGGAGGAGGAGCAGAAGGAGGTGGAAGAGAAAAAGAACGAGAAGAAGAAGGAGAAAAAGAAGAAGGACAAGGACGAGGAGAAGGAAGTGGAAGAGAAGAAGAAAGAGAAGAAGGAGGAGAAAAAGGAGAAGGACAAAGAGGTGGAAGAGAAGAAGGAGAACGAGAATGACAAGGGGAAGAAGAAGGAGGCTGAGAGGGAGAGAAAGAAGGAGAGACAAGAGGAGAAAAATGATAAGCAGAAACAGAATGTAAAGGAGAAGAAGAAGAAGCAGACGAAGGAGGAGAAGAAGGCAAAGGAAATAGAAGAGGAGGAGGAGCAGAAGGAGGTGGAAGAGAAGAACGAGAAGGAGAAAAGCAAGAAGGAGAAGGAGAGCAAGAGGCAGAAGGATAAGAAGAAAAAGGAGAAAAAGGAGAAAAAGAAGGAGAAGGATAAGGACGAGGAGAAGGAAGTTAAAGAAAAGAAGGAGGAGAAAAATGACAAAAAGGATAAGGACAAGGACGAAGATAAGGAAGTAGAAGAGAAGAAGAACGAGAAGAAGGAGAAGGATAAAACAGAGGAGAAG